AATATATCTCACCACGATTAGAATCATCGATTCCTACCTTCTGCAGTTCGCCACTATTCTTCAAAGCGACCGTCTCACTGCCTCCACCAATACATTTCCCATCAATAAAAACTCTTGGTACCTGTGGGACCACACGGACTAGTGACTTCAACTAGAGACTGAAGACCCACCGTTCTAGCACCGGTAATCTCGTTGAGATAATCCTGTATAGCAGCACAGTCCGAGCGACCATCCAACTCCACCACCTTGTATTCAGCCCCTGCATCAAGTGATGTTGGCGTTTACTAGCAGACGCCCCGTTACTACCAATGCTATTCAAGGCGGACTTAGCCTTCTTGCAGTGTGGGCAATAGCTTTTGCTAAAGACCATCACCTTATTATCCGCAATTTCGCCATCAACAAACTTCTTTACTTGCTCTATATCGACTGGAGGATTAGACGATAGACAGCTACCCATGCCTATTGGTAATGCAGCTATACGGCCGGTACTACCAAACTAACTCAAGTCAATCGTCCCCTTCAAATAACAGAACTCTCCTCTGAAAGATACCCTGAGAGCATTTTTAGCAAACGAAGGGGTATCTCTGGTCCACTAACAGTTTGATATGAATCAAGCTTGGATTAATTTCTTCAACTCCCCGCTCTTGACCTTGGCTACAGTGTCATCACCTCCACCAATGAACTTGCCGTTCACGAATACACGTGGGACCTGCCGATTAGAAGCATCAATCATAAGCCCTCGTGATAAGAACAGTGGGCCCTACACTACGAGCACCAGTGAGCTGGCCTAAGTAGTCTTGAATGTCCGAGCAGTCGTCACGTTGATCGAGTTCGATAACTTTGGGATTGGCGTTGATTGAAGCAAGAGCCCCTTTCGCCTTCGTGCAATAGGGACAATACGACTTGCCGAAAAGCACGACCTTGTTGGAGGCAATCTCGTTATCAACGAAGCTCTTGACTGACATCTCACGTATAAGAAGCTTTAACAAACTACGAGGGAAAACTGGTGATTAAGGAAAAGTGAACTAAGTGATGAAATCAAATTATGCTATCTTCTTGACAGCGACTCTGAGCTACTCCATAGTTGAGACTCTCAGAGGAGTTACTGCCGGGAAACATACATAATACTTGCGGTTCACAACGGGCGATTACATCTCATCCCACCAAGCTTGCTATTGGGATGAGTGTAGGTAGTTGAGCTCAGGCGAGATGTCGTGGAATACTATGGACTAACCAACACACAAAACGCTCGTCACATTAGGCCAAGAATGACAGGCCTGTATTCAGATGGTCGAAGTCTTTCTCGAGCCGAGACCTGGTCAGTCGATATGCATCAAACTATGACGAACGGAGTTGCTTGGATTACATCAGAGGCTAGCGCGATCCGTCCAAACCTGCTCAACCAGTCAAGTGAGGTACGTATCTAGCGACAGTATCAGCCCTTCCCAGATGGGGTTGGTACCACCAACTTGATAGCGGTACGTGACGCGAGCACTTCAGGAGCGGTTAAGATAGCAAGATTTCTCTCGAGAGCGTCGCGCAGCGTGCGTGAGGTCGACATCATCGTTCACTGGCAGAACGGTTCCGCCGGAACCTGTCGCTCCGCTCCGGAGTTCTCTAGCTCGCTGACACTCGAGGGCTCTAGCGGTGCGTAGTAGAAGATACGTAAAAAATTGATTACGCATTTGAAGATGTGCCGAATTGGGGAGTAGGATGAAATAAATATTCGGCGGATATGTTAGAGTGAGTGTATAAGTAGGTAGTCTATCGTACTAAGTACGGTGGGAGAATTAAAGGATGTGGTGAACCATCGTTTCAACCATGGATGAGGTATTAGCGTTAATAATGTTACTCGTCTGCCGAATTATACAGGAGAACTGAAGCCTTTGCTGCAGGAAGTATAGACGGTTCGGACAGAATATGAATCTGCACGTTATCTCACTGTTCATACATGATCGTGATATCATGGCATACCTCATTGTAGGGATAGGTGTGCAGGTTTGTACTGATGCATTTGTTGACGTCGTCTTATTGTGTACAATTTGACCTGTTGCATTTTCTTGTAAGTCCGCACAAGGTGCAGGCGGGATCTAGTTCAGGTAATATGAGAATGTAGTACTTCATCATGAAGTCGTCATGGACTTTCCAGATCCGGAGGAGTTGGTAAAATCATTTCTTGAGCTCCTACCGAGATATCCGCTGTGTTAGGTGTCGATGATGACGTGTGGATGGCCTATGTCGTTGAACAGCTTGATAGAAAATATGTTGAAACTCAGCTTGTGGGCACTATGTCGAAATCATATTCGTGAATACGGTCGACATATGTCTGATCATGAAGTCGAACAGGATCGGTTGGAGGTGAAGCGTGCGTTGGATGAATGAAGAGGGCATGTGTTGCAATATTCATCTATTTCCAATACTGTTCTGGTAATGGATCTGGTGGTTGGTTGCGCCCCTTGCAGAGCTGTAGTGGAGGAAATATAATAGCCTGAGTTGAAGAAACATGGGCTATGATAGCTTACAAAATCAGGTAACTTGTTGTTCTTCGTCAACATAATCAATGAATCTATGACATAAGACGCAGTAGTCATCAGAGGCATCACTTTCATTGGCGTCTTCATAAAGCGAACAGATTCTCCACATGGTTTATTATCTAAACCTAAACAGTACATGGTCACCTGTAGGCTACAGGCTGTAGCCGGAAATGTGTGGATGACATACATACTAATTGGTTTAAGAGATAGTAATCATACTCTGAGTGTACCTCCCTCTAGCTCATACTCAGTAACCTCAGAACTCAATAATCTCGGTGATGACATTGATAGTGGTTGTGATACTTAGGTAATCTCCACGAAGTGTTATACCTCGCTCTATGAAAAGGGGGAAAAGCTATGCGTTTGCGTGCCGCATGGTGCGGTCCGCTGCACGCGTGAGCAACAACAATGCTTGGTGGTATCAATGATACCGTATCATCAAACTGAGTATACAGCTTAGGTGAGCTGGGATAATACCCAGCGGCACATAGTAGTATTGAACGACATGGTACACTGAGGGTATTACCCTCTTTAAATAAGCGAACGCCGATAGGATTGTGCGCGAAAATCGATTTTTTTTCGTATGCTATTTCAAGGACGTTTTAAGGTCTAAAATACGTAGAAAGATCAACGATTTAGAGTTGAATCAACGCAGGAATTGGATGTGGGAATGTGCGAACCTCGCACCTTCGCACTGCGAAGGATGCGAGAATACGCAGCCCACACAGCTGTATACATATGTGAAAGCTCGGAGAAAACAACGCTATGAGCGGAGAGGAAAGTGGAAGTTGACGCACGATGACAACCGTTGCATGTTTTTCTATTATAATATAGATTGAGCCTCTTTTAGTAGAGTACTTACTTCAAGTCGCGTTATGCTGGGTTCACTTGACGCTACTCAACGTACACTCAAAGCGTGTCTCATTATTTACGCGGAACTTGCTCCTATGTAATAGACTCATTATCGATTTGGTATGTGCGTAGAGTGCTGTAGGAGTCGGCGTGAGCGATTCGGCTCCTCTCGTGAAGTGTTGTTGTAATCTTTTCCTCGGGGCTATCATCGACAACTTGTCAGATAATTTCATTTCCATCCCCATCGGAGTATCCTTGCCCATCATCGTTATCGGCGCTACTCATGATCCATCCTCGTAACTACAGGGCCGGCGATAGCTGTGTTAGTACCTCTTACGTTTCCTCGGCATCATCCTATCGTAGGGGCCGCTTTGACCTTGAGCCTGCAGTGAGTCTGTCCTCTTTGGAAACAAGTGAGCTGTCAGTTGTTATCCTCTATAAACGGGATGCTTATGGCATCGCTGACTATAAGTGCTCGCTGACTGTACCCCAAGAAGTCCGTCGCATAGGCCGTTTCATGTGTACTGACATTGAGCATAACAGTGCTCCTAAACTACTCCACCGTAGTCGTATCGGTCGATTCCAGGTCACGACTTGGAAGTCAGCTTGTGTGGTATCGAGATCCTCGGATTCTATTGATAGCTGTGATGAGGTCGTCTTTAGGCGATCTTGTTCCCCTTAGTTCTGACTTTTCTCCATTCTCTACTCACTGCATGCTGTACTCACACAGTTGCAGTGTTGTGAACATATATTCGCTTCTTCAGTGTAGATGTACATCGTTCTGATCAATGATGTGATGTCATTTTTTTCTCAACTTTTTCTCAGGCAACAGTTCTCACAGGCCCATGAACTCACTGTGTGAATAGACTGCGACATGTTTAAGCAGTCCATGATTAGTTGACAGTAGTGTAATGGTCTTGTCAGCAATCCTTTGTACTTGTATTGCACCGTTCGTTATTGTATATACTCCGGCCTTTAACTGTTCCTTCGAGATCTCTCAAGGTTGATAATCATGCTTGCATTAGTCAATGCTCAATCTCTCGTAATGCTCGACGGAACTCATCGCTACGCTTATTGAGTGGAAAATTGGAGAAAAGCACGAGGAATAGGATGACCATGTTCAAGTGCTAGGCACTTATTGACGTAGCTTTGAACTTTGAAATTTTATATTGCTTGGATGGTCAGCTGCTCGCTCCGGACCCGGCCGAAGCCCGGTTATAGATTACGTTAGTCAGAGCCTGACTCCCTAGAACCTATCTAAAGCCCGATTATAGGTTACGTTAGTCAAGCTCTGACTCCCTAGAACATATCCAAAGCCCGGTTATAGGTTACGTTAGTCAAGCTCTGACTCCCTAGAACATATCCAAAGCCCGATTATAGGTTACGTTAGTCAAGCTCTGACTCCCTAGAACATATCCAAAGCCTGGTTATAGGTTACGTTGGTCAAGGTCTGACTCTGTAGGAAACATCTAGTCTTCGCCAACCACGTAGACATCCAGCTATTGTAGTCGGACCCGTGCCTTGCATGATCGTCGAGATCACTTCAGCTTCTGATAGGCAACACCGGGCACCTGAAGATGTGGTTCCCCTGAGGAACCTACTAGATTAGTCTAGGAAGATTTAGTCTAGGTCTCCTGCTCATGCTACAGATAGTGGAACTTGCACTCTAAGAAGTGTTGCTTTGCGGAAGACCACTGATTTGGACTCTACGAGCCAATCGAAGCTCTCTGCTGTCTTTTGACAGTACACATGCTCGCAAGGCAATTTGGAGGAGCTACCGGTCGTTCGCAGCCTTGGAACATCTCCACTATATCGCCCTCATGACGACAGTTCTGTTGCTGTAAGTGACAAGTGGTCACTCATAGCATTCTTTAGGACGTTCAATCCCATCTAGTGCATCGTTCAATCATAGGCCGCATCATCTTCAGAACCTTTAAATGTTTTACTCCGAGCCACCACACGGGGTACTCTCTTGTCTTGTCATTGACTTGAGTAAGCTCTCGTCGTCCTTTCACTCGTTCATCTGTCCCGCACATTCATGAGCATGTCATGGCCTCAAAGATCTTGCTATTCTCTATATCTCGATGTACCTGTCAGTATTACGACCAGCAAGGGTGTCCCTAGCAAAATTCCTATTTAGTAGTGTAGCACTAATCATTGAGTTGATTTCAGTTCGGTTACGGTGTTCGATAGTTCAGTGTTGGGCTCAATTAGCGTGAATGTGTAGGTAATGACATCTCGTTATGATAACAGGGAGACGCGATCATGCGCGAGTTGTTCCTATGGATGGACCAGTAAGATCAGCCTTCTGGACCTTGTGCAATAGTATGCATAGTCCCTTAACAAATCAGAGCAGACTAGTAGTCTGTCGTAGAATGCGCATCAGAGTGTTGGCGTTCTGTCGCTGGTCCCCTCAGGACCGTACGGCTGAGGGTCCCGAAAGAGACGAACTTCAAGACGGTGGAAGTAAGAAGTTAAACAATCGTGTATAGCATCTGCTGGTAACGGAGTATTGCAGGACGCTCACGCGAGTTTATGGTGAGGTTTGGGATATGAGTAGTGATGTGAATGGTCGCTGGCTATGACAGGGAAGTATGGGGAGTAGAAGGAAGGCCCACACTGTCGATAAGGAAGCCCTAGATAGGTAAGATAGTAGTACTCTTTGGGTAACCCAAAGGGGAACCTCGAGGCATCAACCCGAGCTGGGCTAATGCCTCGAGGTTCCGTCTTAGTCACGGGTCCTCTCAGGTTGAACGGTGTTGTTGGGCATTCACTACGTTATGACGATGGACTTGATGAGCAGTCACACGTGTTCCGGAGGGTGTCTGAGTGAGCTAGCTTTGCCTTTACTGATGTATGGAGTCGCCCTTAGTCGGTATCTCTCTGATGATACCTCTAGGGGTCCTCTTGATGATACTAACCCCTCTGAAGGAATGCTCAAGAGCGTCATTGTCTCGATCACTCGGACGCACTCCTTCGACTCCATCATGTGGTTGGTCGTGCTCGCGGTGAGTATTATTGGCCCCCAGACTTCTTCCTATGCCGCTACCTCATCAGTCAACCGTGTTGACTGGTATAGAAATCGACATGGTGGGTGAACCCTCTGTCGGGAAGAATACTACCAGGCTCATCTTCCAAGTGCTGCAAATGCTTTGTCTGGCGGCCTATATTGTGGAGCTTCTCATTCACGCAAGGAAGCTGGGTGGGTCAATCATTCTTGTTATTCAGTGTACCTCACTCTTCCTGACTTGCTCGCATCGGAGATCAGTCTTCTCGCTGACCTTGTGTAGGTCTCTAACCACCGGGTGTTACCTCAGGGTGGGATATATTCCTCGACTCGTGGATAGTAGTGGACCTCATGGTCCTGGTTTTCGGCGTGTATGATGTCTATTTCGGCCTGAGAGCTATCGAGTCGGCCTCTGATTGGTCCTATCCGACTGGGCAGAAATTACAGCTTGGCTCAGCCATGAGGCTTGTACGACTAATACGGTACGCTCCTTTATTCATGTATCCCCTGTCACAATGCATCATCATTATCACTATTAGACCTGTCACCCTAGTTGGTGACAATAGTGGTCTGACAACACGGTTGCGAGTACTGGTCTCTAGCAGTGGCTCCATCCTCCGGTCCT